AAGAGGCTGAATTCTGGAGCTTTCCCACCCCAGTCCAAAGTGAAAACAGACAAAGGGAACTTCACTCCTTCCTTTTGAATCTTGCCCTCCCATGGGTTCCTCTGGTCAGGTGTCAGCTAGGCTAGGTGAACTTCTTAACCCTTTACAGATAAAAGAGGCATTAATCCTTAACTATCTGTTTATGACAATGGCATAGAGCATTACCGAGACCATTACTGGAATACCATTTTCCAGTTCTGGTGTCCACGGTGTAAAAAGGACTTGATAAATTGGAAAGGGTTCAGAAAAGTGCCACAAGAATGACATGAGGTCTGGAAAAAGCTGCCTTACAGTGAAAGGCCAAAGAAGCTCAATCTGTTTATCTGAACAAAGAGATTAGAGGTGATTCGAAGAGAAGATTTCTGATAGTACAGATCTCTTTAATCTAGCAGACAAAGGCATAAAGACACAACAAGATCCAATGGTTAGAAGCTGAAACTAGACAAATACAGACTAGGAATATGACACTGTAAAAAAAAAAAAAAGAAGAAAAGAATGATGGCAATTAACCACTGGATTAATCACCACTTTAGAAATACAATTTATTTCCAGGATATGCAGTGGATTCTCCATCACTTGAAATCTACATAAAAACTGGTTGTCTTGCTAATGGCTTTGATGCAGGAATCACCAGTGAAAAATCTATGGCCTGTGTTATGTTGGAGGTCAAACTAGAGGACAGTAATGGTCCCTTCTGACCTCATACTCAAATTATGTAGTTAAAAATTATGTAATTCTAGTCCTCAAGGAAACCATAGATTTCAATGCCAATAGGAGAGCAGGAAATAAGGGGTTTAAAAGGACTGAATAAGCTAAATGTCATCTTCTAAGTTCTGCCTACTGTCCTTCGACAGGCTTCTTAAATGGAGAAGCAGATTGAAGTTTCCAACAGTTGACTCTGGTGAGGCTGGAAAGAGATGTCACATTCAGGGTATGTCTACACTACGAAATTAGGTCGATTTTATAGAAGTTGATTTTTAGAAATTGATTTTATACAGTCGATTGCGTATGTTCACACTAAGCGCATTAAGTCGGCGGAGTGAGTCCTCACTACCATGGCTAGCATTGACTTAAAGGAGCGGTGCATGGTGGGTAGCTATCCCACAGTTCCCGCAGTCTCTGCCGCCCATTGAAATTCTGGGTTAAGCTCCCAATACCTGATGGGGCAAAAACATTGTCCCGGGTGGTTTTGGGTACGTCGTCAGTTGCCCCTCCCTCCATGAAAGCAATGGCAGACAATCGTTTTGCGCCTTTTTTCCTGAGTTACCCGTGCAGACGCCATACCATGGCAAGCATGGAGCCCGCTCAGCTCACCGTCATCGCTGCTGTTGTGGGCAAGTCTAATGTGGGGGCTACTGTGATCCAAGTAGCTAATGCAATCATTGACGTTCTGTTATCAAGGGTACTGACTCTGGGAAATGTGCGGGCCTTTTTAGATTTTAGGTACATCATATTCCTGTCCTTTGTCGCTGGTGAAGAAGTCTTGCAGCTGTACATTCCAGTCCAGTCGGCACTGCAACACCCCATAGCACTTCTGTGGTTGACACATGTAACAGCTCTAGGGCTCTTGCTCTTTTGTCTTGGCCAAGGTATCTTACCCTACCCGGACCTCCAAGCATTCGACACAGAAGCACCTGCAGCAGCTGGCATTGTTACACAGCAGCAGCTCCTTGCCTTCACAGCAGATGGTGCAGTAGGACTGCTAATCGTCGTCATTCACCGCTTCTGCTGCAACTCTGCTCCCCTGCTCCCCAGCGATGAGCTTGGGGGATCCGTACTGGTCCTCCTGGGTGCTGCTGGCAGCAGACAGTGCAGTAGGACTGGTAACTGTCCTTGTCAGACATGTAATGTGGCCGGGGGTTCTGGGAACGTCTTCCCTGCCCAGCTCCTAGCAACCTCCAGGGCATGGTGTACGGCTCCATCACTTCCCCTGCAACTCTGCTCTCCTGCTCCCCAGCGACGAGCTCGGGGGATCCGATCGTTCATGAAGCCTGGACAGTAGTAAGGAGCAGTTCAACTATAGGCTGAGCAAGTGCAAATGGTGATAGAATGTGCCTTTGGACGTTTAAAAGCTCACTGGTGCTGTTCGTCATACCTCAGCGCAACCAACATTCCCATTGTTATTGCTGCTTGCTATGTGTTCCATAATATCTGAGAGAGTAAGGGGGAGACGTTTATGGCGGGGTGGGAGGTTGAGGCAAATCGCCTGGCGTCCGATTTTGAGCAGCCAGACACCAGGGCGATTAGAAGAGCACAGCAAGTTGCGCTGTGCACAGAGGCTTTGAAAACCAGTTTCATGACTGGCCAGGCTTCGGTGTGACAGTTGTGTGTGTTTCTCCTTGATGCAAACCCGCCCCTTTTGTTGATTTTAATTCCCTGTAAGCCAACCACCCTCCCCCTTTGAAATAAAGTAACTATTGTTTTGAAACCATGCATTCTTTCTTAATTTAAAAAAAAAAAAAAAAGAGAGAGAACGGACAAGGTAGCCTGGGTGGGGTGGGGGGAGGAAGGAAGGATAAGGCCACATTGCTTATTGTAGCCACACAAAAAATCAAACTGTTTGAATGACAGCCTTCTGTTGCTTGGCCATCCTCTGGAGTGGAGTGGCTGGGCCGGAGCCTCCCCCGCCGCATTCTTGGGCATCTGGGTGAGGAGACTATGGAAATGGGGAGGAGGGTAGGCAGTTATATAGTGGATGCAGTGGGGGTCTATGCTCTTGTTGGCTTTCCTGCAGCTCCAACAGACGCTTCATCATGTCCGTTTGCTACCCCATTAGCCTCAGCATCACGTCCTGCCTCCGCTCTTCGCGCTCACTTATGTCTTCCCAGGCCTCTGCCGCTGAATGCTCCCATGCATTAAGCTGTGCCCTATCAGTGCGAGAGGACTGCATGCGCTC